TGTTTTATTGTAGGGTTCCATCAAGTATTTTGCTTTCCTGGTGACATTTAACGATTCAAATAATAAACTATTCTTGATAATTCTTAATATCACTTTCACTGCAGAATATACAGATACTAACTTGGATTTTAGATTTATAATCCATCAATGTGTGCTAAGTACTACGTACAGAACCTAATATCAACATGATAGTTTTTCAGAAAATACAGTTAATATTGAACTGGTATGTGAAAATGACATTTTTCTCAAAACTAATATGGGATCAGACCAGTATTTACCACACTTCTACAGTGGTATTCACCTTATTAATCCCAATACCTAGATGTTTTGATATTTCCATGTTTTTTCCATAAATATTCTTAGCTGAATAAATGAGGTAAATTTTTACTAAATATCAGCTTCAAGTAAATAATTGGACAACTCAACACTACCATTGAAATTATTTGATGTGATCTATGCCACAGGTAATGATACTTCAAAAAAACTCAAAGAACAAAAACAAACTCTTAAAAGGAATGGTCATCAACATTGAGGGAAATTATTTATTTCTTTTATTTTATTTGAGTCACTTCGTATGAAACATTGAGACACTAAGGTCACGCTCGCTTAGATAACTAAACGCTACTTCGTTGTGATTGGCTATACCTGATTAGACTCTCCTGGTTAGAACAATCAGTCACCTAGACGGAACACAAAGTTTCAGGTTACATAAGTAATGAGAAAAGTGGTTGCATGTATTCAAATGGTTCAACACGGAATGAAGTATTAGAGCACAGATGACGAAAGATAAAGTGTTGTTACATGTTACTTGTAACTATTCAATCCAAATCATGCGGAACGCACTGAAAATGATGAACGTCGAAAAAAAATGTTATTATTTGAGTGTTTGTTATGTCGGGAAAATACTGAAAACACCGAAAGACTGTAATTGAATTGCAAAAAAAGTATTTGTGAACTTGATCAGTCATATTTTTTATGGCTTGTGTCTGCTTTGTGTGGTCATGTAAATTATAAATTTTATCGCTTTTTGCCTTAGCTTGTAACTTTTGCAGTCTTACAGCAATATGCAAGTTTTTGAAATTTTAATATGGACTATATGGAACATGCATACATGCAAAAATTACTACATCATTGAGTTTACTAGTAAATTATTTTAGGTTTAGTACGTTTAATAATATATCTAGTTGCAATCCTGCATTCAGAGCAATGAACAGGGTTGTTACTTTCATTACCGGTTTATTGTTTTCAACATTGTTTGCCATCGTGATTTCAAACAGGTTGGAGCCTGGCTCCCTTACCCTTTCAACTGATGTTTGTCAGAGGGACAAATGGGTCATGAAGGACGGCACTGATGTTCTCAGAACATCAGTGCCGCCCTTCACGGTGTTCTACCTGGCTGGGGTGAGATGTATGAAAAATTGTTCATCTTTTGACGGAGGACATAGGGGCCTCATTCGGCAGTGTCGGAGTCTTCTATATCGGAAGGGGTCGTCTACAACATAATCTATAGCTTCCCTAACTGAATTGTTCTCAAGTACATTTTGTCAGCTTATATTAAAGTTCCATTGATATTGATTTGATTATCAAGTCTAGGCCAAAGACCCTCTGGGCATGAAATTTGCGTGAACTAGGGTTTCAGTTCTGAGAGTATGTAAGTTTCTGAAGAAAAAGAGCTAAGCCACACAACTGCTGTTTTTAGAAAAATAATTATTCATTCATATTTATCTATTTCTTTATTTATATAATGAGAGCAAGCTTACATTAAATTAGGTGAGGTAAATAAATAAACAGATACGAATGAATAATTATTAAGTTAAACTTCACTGCCATTTTTCTACAAACAGCAGTTGTGTGGCTTAGCTCTTAGCTCACTTCTCCTCCAAGAAGACGATATGAAGCATGTGTACATACAAAAGATACGAAATCAAAGCATAAATTACTAAATTATCTAAGTTTTAGTACGAAAATGAAATATTGAGTGGCAACCCTGGAGAAAAAATTATTTCTTATTCAGTTTCAGAACCACAGAACTATAACTACTTTAACTCAGTTATAGCCAGTGCTGCCGTTAAGGTACTATTGTACCGCATTCGGTACTATTCCATGATTTTGATACGAAGATACTACCCGGATCAATATGTAGACTATTCGGTACTATTTACTATAATTCCAATTTTTTACATTTTCACGTTGACTTCCATCGAGTACAGTAAAAAATAACAACAATATGTGTGGCAACAATGCAATTTCGTGTTTCAAGTTCCAGGTCAGCAAATACCGTACTTGTGTCAAAATTGCCAGCTATCATCATAACTCTGCATTATTTAATCCTGTGTTCTGTATTGTGCCTGTGAACTGTGGTTCTGTCATCTGTCAGTCAGTCAGCAGAACAGCAGTTTTAACTTCTAACCTCACCTTTGAGAAATTGGTTTTATTGTTTTGTCAAAATAAATAGGAATATGGACAGGTAAAAATGAATTCTCGAATCTAGCTACTTGAAAAGGTCTTTAGTATTGTTCATTCTATTGTGACAGAAACCTAATTAAAACAAAACAAATTTCCAATCATGAAAGAGCAATTCGAAGAAGGAAAAAGACACCTTTTTATCAAATGTTCTGATTATGATCTTTCTCTTAAAGAACATTTCTTAGTTTCCAGCAAATTTTTTACTCCATATATTTTCCGAATTTAAATGGATAACATTATTACACGTTTGGCATTACTGGCATTTGGTTTGAAATGACTTATGCGCATGTGCCATGCCTAGTCTTGCGCAGTACATTTTGGGTACTATTTTCTTGTAAATTTCGGTACTTTTTGAATTGACGTTGCGGCAGCACTTGTTATAGCACAGGTTATAGTCACAAAACAGCCACACAACTGTTATGTCACAGTATTTTGTGGTTATGTGGTTATAGTTCTATAACTTAGTTATAATTTTGTGTTCAAGTGTTCAGTACTTTGCAATTTTTTTCTGCTTGAATGGGTTCTTCATTTGTCACCACATTTTGATAGTGAAATGGGTATACGAGGTCTTACAACTTTCATACAAAATAGGTCAAATTTGTACATGGAGAAGTATGAACTTCACGACACTTCCCTGATATTGGATGGAAATGCAGTTGCTTGCCAACTTTACAGGTGGCATACTATTTCTAATGACTGTTTTGGAGGAGACTATGACAAATATGCCAATGTAATAAGGAACTTCTTTCATTTACTGTTTGATTGTAATGTTACACCCTATGTTGTTTTTGATGGTGGTTATGAGAAAAGGAAGGTAGCGACTGTAATAAATCGCATGAAGAACAAAATCAAATCCGCAGACCAACTGAACTGTGTCACTGAATGCTCAATATCAGTATTTCCCTTATTATTGAGATTAACTTTTTTGGAGACTATAACAAAATTGAATATTAAAATTTTAAGATGTGATTTCGAAGGAGATTCTGAAATTGCAAGCATTGCTAGGACTTTGAATTGTCCAGTTTTGAGCTTTGACTCAGATTTTTACATCTTGGATGTTTTGTATATACCTTTTAATACCCTCGATATGAGCGTAAAAACGTCAAGGACTAAAATCAATTCTGAAGAATATTTGTACATCCCATGTGAGGTATACAAAGTTGAAAATTTTGTGAAGCGCTTCAATGGTTTGAACAAAACGATCTTACCCATACTAGCTGTTCTTCTTGGTAATGATTATGTGAAACGAAGTATATTTTCTTCATTCTATCAAAACCTGAAGATGCAGAAATGTGCGTGTCCGAAAGAAGAACAGAAAAGAATCAAATCACTCATTATGTGGTTACAAAATGAAACAATTGAAAGTGCCATTGAGAAAGTCCTTAGTAGGTACAAGAAAGATAAGAGAAAATTCATCTTGAGTAAAATACAGAATGCTATTCAGGCTTACAATAATTTGAATAGTAAGTATCTCTCATATTTCGGGTTAGAGCAGCCTGTTATCAGTGATGGTCATGCCACAGTTTCTGATCTAAGTGTTGCCGAAGATGAAAGTTCAGTTTGTGAAGAAGAAAGTGAAGATGTTTCTGCTTCTGAAGGCCATTCGTCCAGCTGTGATGAAATATTTTTAGATGATGAAGAACCTGCCGTAGATGTTCCCTCAATATTTTTCGAAAAGTTCAGGACGTGTCAGTATCCAGCGAGTTTCATGAATATTCTCTTTCAACATAAATATTATTGTGAACCTCAGGTGGAAATGAGTGCCTTACCAAATTCTCATGAAGTGAATTTTGATATTTTGAGTGCTATTCATAAAATTTTGACTGATTCCAATGACCCTTTGATATGTATCGGGAGAACTGAAAAGGAACGAGTGGGTAGAAAAGGAGTTGCTCCATGCGACATTGATCTTCCCACCTTATTGGAAATTCAAAATTTGAATACAGACCAAAGAAAACAGATTTTCTTCAAAATATTGAAACTAAATGACAGTATTGATACATTTTTACAGTCATTCCCAAGTTCTTGGCACTTGCTCCTTTTAGCAATTAAATATTTGATGGTCCGTTCTACAATTAGCTGGCCACTTGTCTACTCTATATTACTGTGCAGTGTAATTTTGAAACATGTTGATAAACACATTGGATTTCATAGGAGTGTTAAGGCATTTAACAAAAGGTTTGGAACAGGGAGTTCATCAAACCAATCATCCAAAGAATCATCAAACAGTGAAGTATCTATTGCTGAAGCTTTAGGTGAAATTTCTTACCAAGACTGTAAATCCTGCATGAGAACACTAATTTCTTTTTTTGAATTAGATGATAGGACCACAATCAGATCCTTCGACAGAAGTTTGGTTCATTCGATATCCCAATTTCAAAGCTGCCTTATGCATATAGGACAGTTGAACAGTCTTCTCAACTCGCCATTTTTAGACTTTGTTGTTTCTGAATGCCTGAACTGCACATTTCTTTATTATTCTACAAAAAATTTTAGCAAAAGAAGTGACTTGGATGATTATATGAAAGTTTTGTTGAAAAATTCTCCCACTATTTTGCACAGTTATGGTTTGATTATTAAAAAAGTTAAAGAGGCTGCATGTGACAACATACTATCCATAGAATCTAGACAAAAAAGAAGGAGGAGAAAGAAGAAAAAAGATGTCAGTACCAGGGAGGTAGAGGAACTCTCATCAGGTCTACTTACAGATGAAGATTCACTGTTTGACCCTAATAATAAGTTTGCTGTTTTATCTTTATCAAAAAATTAATGAGACTAATATACCTATGTTGACACACATATTTTTGAACCTAGACAATGTTCAAACTTTTGTAATTCAAAGAAATATTTTTATATAAAGTTTAATAAAAAAATGTTGGCTTTAGTTGTTGAAATATAAATGAATAAATGTAGCAGTACTATTTTGATAAGATTGATATATTCAGAAACAATCCAAAAGAAATGTGGAAAACACTAAAAAAATTAGTTAATAAAAATGATCTGAACACTCCACTCAATATAATTTTTGATACATTAGATGAGCAAAAAACTATAAAAGACAACTTAGAAATAGCACAAAGTTTTAATCACTACTTTATTGAAAGCATTCACAGTATAGTTCATAGTATAAATATTAATGAAGACTGGACCAACTTAAATAATAATATATACATGCCATTCGATAAATTTGAAGTACTCACAATGCCTCACTTACGAAAAATAATCCGCGGCATGAACAATAAATTTTCTATTCATGAAATATTGAACTGTAGGATGCTAAAGGAGATATTTGAAACTATAGGACATGCTATTCTAAATTTCGTTAATACATCGTTAACTACTGGTGAAATTCCACAAAGTTTGAAAATTAGCACTATTGTACCAATTCAAAAAGTTCCTAATACCAATAAAGCTGATGAATTTCGCCCAATCAATACATTACCACCTATCGAAAAATTACTCGAAGTGGCTGTATACGATCAGTTATTACATCATGTTGAGTCAAATTGTATTTTAATGAATAATCAGTCAGGATTTCGAAAACAGTTTTCATGCGAGTCCGCGTTACAATTAACTTTATGCCATATAAAAACTCAATTGGATAATAAGAAATATGTAATTACTGTGTTCCTTGATCTGAAGAGAGCATTCGAAACCATTNCCATATGTTTCCTTTTCCATGTAGCTCGATACTTTATGGCACACGGAATATTTCGGGTACTTTAGTTGAATTCTTGTCAGACATTATTTTTTTCCTCACCGTAATAATTACGGCCAAACAAATCGTTTTGACTCTGTATATAATTTCAACTATATGTCTCCAGTTTTGCGAAATACAAGAATTTTTGGCACTCGAAATATTTCTGTTAGTTTATTGATGGTCTTGTTGAGAAATTATTTTTTTCCTCGCCTATTACGGCCGAACAAATCGTTTTGACTCTGTATATAATTTCAACTATATGTCTCCAGTTTTGCGAAATACAAAAATTTTTGGCACTCGAAATATTTCTGAGAATTTTTGACATTCGAAATCATTTGGGTAGATTGTCGATACTCTCCTCACGGATTTGTAAGACTTTATGTTGAGTATTGTATCAGAAACATGGTCTTCTTGTAGGTTATGTTTATTCACTGGAAGAATTTCAATCATCAGAAACAGAAAAAATAGAAAATCTGACAACACCGCCCGCGTTTGCTCCTCTATCCCGCATATTATTTTCCCTACGTCAGAAAGTGTGGCTAGGAAAATGTGGCTAACTTCACACCAATACGAACATCACATGCAACCTTGGTAGCCTGAAACATCGAAGAAAAGTTGAAGATTTTTCCATCTTTTTTAGATACTTTCACGGGAGGTGTTAAAGTGACTTGTCAGATTTGATTCCACCAAGAGCGGTACATATTAGAAATACGCGATGGACTGTGGCTACTCAACGTTTTGAGGTTCAACTCAGTACACTTCGAACTTCACTGTTTAAGAACTCTTTCATTTGGAGAAATGCGTTCATGTGGAATAAACTTCAAATGCAACGTGAAACGCTACTTTCGCACAGGCACCGCTTTTAGAGCGCCTTAAGGATTTTCATGTAGTGCTTGTGTTTTGTCCTTGAAAAATCTTTATTAATAGGGAGAAAAGTAGAAAGTCAAAAAGCTTTTTTCCAAAAATTGACATATATCAGGATTTTCCTTAAAAGTAAAATACATGTTTGCCGGATTAACGAATTTGTATTATAATTTTTTCATTCAGTGTAAAGATAATATGTAGAAAGAGTTCATAAAGTGCTGAAATGAAATGAAAATTAGGAGTTATTAATAACCTGTTAATTCAATGGGGAGAACCAAAATCGCATCATAAGCATGAAAGATGCAAATCACCCTAAACGGCCTTCTGCCACCGTTTTTCATCAGTTGCAGATCACACGCCTGCACCATTATTGTTTGCACTCTGCAATGTGAGCTCCAAAGATAAAATACCCCCTCAAATCTATTACCAAGCTGTATACGTAAATCCTTCAAAATACTGACTGAGGCCCACTCTTCCACTTGAAATTCGCGTATGGTTTTCTATTTGATACATGAATGCTATTGTAGGTGCGAGTATAATCAGGGGAGGACTTAGGGAGTGGTTTGTAATCGGGGTATATTTTAATGACTGATTGTTAAATATATTTATGGAATGAATAAGTCTAAAGTTGCGTTTAGCTGATTTTTTTTCATTTCTCTTCAGTTGATATCACTAAATATTATGAAATAATATCCGCCGTGTCTGCCCGTCTATCTGTGATCGCAATCAATTCAAAAACTACTGAATGGAGTTTCAAATATACTCATATACAAATGATGCATATAATAAAACGCTGGCTATTTTTCTTGAAATGTAACAGAAAATTACTACATATTTGTAATATATATGTGCCCTTTATATGTATTTATCATTCTATTCTACCACTTGGTTGAATGGTGAAATAACGTAAGCACAACTTTGTAGAGATAAAATTATAAAGACCATTTATTATTTTTATTGTTATACCTATGTATTGTTCATCGGGCGCAAGTAGTTGTTAAATTTTTGTTGGATCTGTCGGATAGGTACGATTTTCACAGTCAGCTATTTGGTGAGTGGCTACTTGGACTTTGTATTGTTTGTATGTTTGAATATATATAATAAACGGATTTTTCAGGAGTCGTCCTTTATTTATGATGAACCCATGCACAAAAGACAAAAAGTACAGCACATTACAATATTGTTGTCCTCTTATAGGTCTACAAAATAATCCGCGATGGCATATATTTAACTTTTGAGAACAGCTTACTATAACCATGTTTAAAATGGATACGATATCGATATTCATCAAATAAATACGTTAGTCGCTTGGCGCATATCATTACATTTTGCTTTTGTTGTCTTTGAGTAGATAGGTACTAACCTATTTCAAAATTGAAATTGATCTTTGTGAACATACTTACTTTTGAGTGAATTTTCTCAGAGGTCATTATTATTAGCCATTTACTGCGGTACCTGCCTTCACTCAGGGAGTTGATATGCGATAGTGTGATAATTGGAGAGAAGGGATGAATAAAAAGGCTTGGTATGGTCCACAATATTTCAAAAAATATCCACAGTATTCTAGACTGTTCTGGAATGTTCACAATGTCCTAGCATGTTCTGAAATGTTTCTGAATATTCCAGACTAGTCTCTAACATTCCACAACATTCGAGAATATTACGATATGTTCTGAAATGTTGTGGAATGCTGTTGAATACTTTCGAATGATGGTCTGGACTGAGAGCAAACTGAAACTTACTTCATGGACAAACTATAATGAGACACTATGATAGAAAGAGATATGTGTATATATATTCTGGTTTGGATATTAAAAATAACGCCGCGGTCCGAACATTTTTTTCGATGACAATAACTTTTGTTTCTGCTGTATTTAATCATATATTGGATTTGAAATAGGTTTGATCTCATGAACTTTTTTCGTAAATTGAGCCGTTTTAGAGTTATTCAGAATTCTAAGAAATATCTTCTCGAAATACGGGGTGTTGAAATCAAAAATTAAAATTGATTTTTTCCCAGAACTTTTGAAATGTGGATAATAAGCACTATTTTTTTAATCAATATAATGTTTCAAGCAGCATCCAGTGGCTTATAGTAGGATTAGCTGAGCCTATGTATTCTCCAAGTTTTTCAAGTCACTGGTCTGAGGTCAATTTTTTTTACACTTTCCAAATCTCTGTTCAGTTTTACTAAACATGTGCTCTTCCTTTCTGTAGCACTACTTCATTTTTTCTTTTTCCAATATATCATATATCTAAGTAACCGGTAGTGAATTTAATCACAGTCATAATCAATCAATCAACAAAAAAACATCACAAATACTGTTAGGAATTAGCTCCTCACGCTCAAACGTAAGCATTCAATCGTCTGATTACCTTATCATTTATAACTTCGAAGAGACCTCCATTGAGAGTATTGCATGTGTCAATGGTTTCATTTTGAAAATCAACCATATCTTAAATGGGTTTTCATAGACCCCGTTTTTCATATATCCTCACAGGAAAAGGTCCAGTGGGGTCATGTCTAGTGGTTTCGCTGGCCATTCTAGTGGTTCAGGTGTCCCAATTTACTTATTAGGAAATATCCCTTGACAATTATAATGTCATACACTTTGATGGTGTTGCTGTTAGAATTTCTTCAAATAACTGTGTTTGAGTCTACAAAAGTTTGAAATATTTTTCGCTTTCGTGAAAACGTAGTCCCATCAGATATCCATTATTCAAATCGTACCAAGCATTTGTCCCAAACACTCGTTGGTTTCCTCTGTTATGTACCCAACATGAATTAAGTTGTAATCAGGTATGGCAATTACGCCTATCATTATGGCATTGTAAAAAATATACTTCTGACACTCCAAACAGTATTTTTCATTATATTTCTGATCATAAAGGTAAAAAAATGTTGTCAAAAAATCTTTTTGTCTTTCATAACTCAGTGGTTTGAATTTGTGGACAAATTTTGTTTTATAAGGATGAAATGTTTTTTCCAAATACTACTTACTACAGGAGCTTCTTGAAATTCCAGTGTTGACTTCTATTTTTTGAGGGCATATCTTCTTGGCATTATCAACTTTCTGAAGAAGCTTTATTGTGATTAGTAGTGATTTTTTTCTGATTTATTTATTCATGTATTTATTTATTCAATTATAAATGAAGCCATCGAGCAGATACAGATTCAATAACAGCAAGATGGCACCAATCGAACATAAGGATTGACTGTAATCGTTTATAGGTAATGAATCTAACTACAAATGAAGTACTGCAATCTGAACTTTCAAATGATTCTTGGAACTTGTAGTTTCGGACAAAAAAGTCAATAGAATCACATATTATCGTGTTACAAATCATCCTCAACATCTTATGAGAGGTGAGTTGCCATAATAGTTTTTTGAGAAATAAAGAACGAAGAATACAAGTATTTGTCTATGCCGAGTATATTATATTATCTGCAGTTGAAGTGGAAGTAACTGAGACAACAGTATCTACTTGGACTCTTTCAAATCGTTCAGTATTTTATATGCAAATAAGATGTCAGCCATTTTGTAATAAATTTGATGCCTGAAGAATCTGAAATATATGTTCACAAGTTTTTTTAAACATATTCAATACGCTTGACGTACCTACTTCTCATACATAGGGCTCCAGATTATACTATCGTACTCCAAGATTGGTGTGACCAAAGAGTTGAACAGGCTGATGAAAAAGTTGTAGTGTCAAAGATCATCTCAACATAAAACCTAACATTTTCAAGGCTTATGGCATGACTTGGTTGATAACAAAGTGGATTTTTTTATCTAACACAATACCCAAGTCATTTATTTCAGATACTTCTGGTATGGAAATATTATTGATTGTGAGCACGGATGTGCTTTGTACACTTTCAGGTCATCTGCGTATATTGAAATTTCAGAAAAGTTGAAGTATTTTTCTACGTCACTCGAAAAATACTGAATAGTATTGGATCTAAATGTAAACCCTGGGGCACACCCGACATCATTGCAGATATATCGGATTTGAAACTATTCAAGGCAACATACTGAGTTCTCTCACTGAGATTGAAGCAGAAAAGCCTCAGAAAACTGTCCTGCACCCCAAAGTTTCTTGGCTTCACGTTCAGAGTCAGGTGATATAAACGAAAACATGAAGTAAATATAATTTCGATAATTTTCGACAATTATATTTGTTTTTGCGTTCCCCACCACTTTCTACCAGAGATTCCATCGGTTGAGGCGGGATAAAAAGAAGTAACTGGGAAAGGTGCCTACCAAAAAACATAAAACATTACGGGATTGATTAATTATAGGCCAACCAAGATGCATAGAATACCCCTGGTGTGATCATTTAGACCCCTATCCCATGTGAAATATTTCATCTAAAACTCTCGACTTACGACACTCTTAATGAAGGAATGAAGAGATCCAATAAATTTTAGCATTTCATTCACTGAGGTGCTGAGCACAACTCCAGTGAGGCAGATTGACAGTTTCAAGTTGTCACCTCACTTTCCAATGTTCTTTACATTTTGGAACCAGTTATTGGGTGAAATATTTTTTTGCATCATGATCCACAAACTAAAATACGAGCGACAAATTTAGATTCTTGTACCATATATCAACATGTAAACGAAGTTGGGTCAATCTCATTTCTCGGGTCCAGAGTTTTTGAGAAAACAAAAGTGAATTGGTTCAAACACCAGGGTTTCTATTTATAGTTAGTGCAACCATCGGTTTGAGTGTTCATATTTGTTCAAGACATTTTCTTGCGAATAGTTTATCTGCTGTCGGCTGTCATTTTCTCTCAGTAATAAAAAATTGTTGCTTAAAAGTTGTCAAATTGATTTTTTAATGGAATTGCTATGATAAAAGTGGTCTCAACATAAACTTTTGTTTATTTTACTACTAGTCCTAAAAATTTAATATAATTAAATATTTTGTAATGCTTTTTGAACATCGCGATCGTTGAGTGGAAGAAGAGTGTTAATACACTTTATCACGTTAAATGAATATCAATCACTATTATTTTTCATTATTTTATTCACTCAAATTATATATCATCATTTCTGTACACCATAATTTCACGAACATTAAGCCAATGTAAATAAAATATGATATGTGTTACATATGATCTGTGATTCCATGATATACCCGATTCAAAAACAAGTTCAATACCAAATATTTTATTGCTCTGAGAGTTCCAATATTGAAACGTTCTTTTGGCATTTGTGGCAGCATTTTTGCGCCTGATTCCGATATCGGAATCTTAACAAAAAAGTAGCTGAAGCATTTTAGACAGCGTCTTTCTTTTTGCTGCCTCAACTGCTAAGCCTTGTCAGACGCAACACACTGTTATGTGTGACACATCCATTAGTCACCTGTCATTCTGTCAATGTCCAAGTTTAACTTCAAACTTCACTTATGTCAGTGCTGCTGCTTTACCGAAAAATCTGTCATTCAAATAATCACCAACAAATCAGAGTTGGGATGGGATGCAGTGGTTGTTAATTCTGATAACAGTTGTTTTTATTATGTTATGTTTGAATAATGTTTAAAAAATTGTTCGATATAGTTGATTTTTTAATATTCTTGTGAAAGCAGTATCTGAATCTAAGAAATCCTCCCCCGCAGCTCTCTATTTTGGTAAGTCGATTATGTCTAGATTTATGGATTTATGTTTATACTATTCCAGTGTTCACCGGGATGCTTGTTTCTGAACATTTCAATTATACACTTTTGTAGTAGAAAGTCCTCTCTCCATAGTATCAAAATTACTATTTTATCCGATCACTATATCCCGTTTTAAATATTGAGTTTGCACCATGGTTAAAAAGCATGAGAGGAAACACCATTTGGTTTGGTAGAGAAAGGTCTACTATAAAAACTGCCAGATTGGGATGTTTACAACCATGTACTTATATTTCATAGGTACTAGCAAAGACTCCTTGAATATCTAGTTTCTCAGAGACTTATTTTAGATGTTAAAATTGACATTTTAAGTAATTTTCTAAAGAAGAAAACTACTAATACTTACTAAGGATATTCATTACCTATTTTTACTATATTTTTTTTTTCATTTTGGGTGATTTTACTGATAAGGAAGATTTTGAAATGAATGGAAACAATCATTGCAAATGAAAAATCTTTATCCTTATGTGTTCATTTTCGAACTAGTCTTCAATTAAAATACATAAACATTGCTAGTATGCTTAGCAATGATTTAGATATCGAAAAAAAATTAACTTTTTTTCTGAAAAACTCAAAATTTAGTTGGAAATGATTTTGTGTTTCTGCTTGTAGATAATGTGATACGGAAGTGAATATTTCAGATATTTGCACAACTATACAGCCGATTAAAGTCAGTAGAGGACTTCATACAGGACATTATACTTTTCATCTTGAACTTGACAATTATATTTCAGACCTGAGAACTACAAATATGATAGAAGTATCCTTGAAAAACAACAAATACAATAGATATTGATGGTGTGAATATTCTGGTTTGGATTATCTATAAAGCCAACCTAGACCATAGCTTAAAGCACAGACTGACAGAGGGTGCAGGTTACGGAAAGTAATTGAAAACCTTTCCAATGATTCAATGTTGATAACAAAAATCCAACACGTAGAATCATAACCAGCTTCGACAAATAAGCCACTTTCAAATTTGGAACATGTGCTAAGTAATGCAGCTATAATCATTTTATTAATTGTCATTATATTATATTCACGTAGATAGCGTCTTCGTAAGGAAAGATGGACATGCTTACTCACACCTAAGATTGTTCTTAAATGATAGTTGAGTCCAACAATTCATGCATGGTTCAGCTTAGCTATACTAAATTAAACAGCATTGTTTGATCATAAAACCTTTTTTATCTGATTATGATTAAAATTGCTCTTAACATAAGTATTGACTAGGGCCCGGTTTGCTAGATTGTTGAAATAATAGTTCAACTTTCTTGACTTTCCAGTTTCCATTCAATACCATATATACTGCTCGATACACATTTTATACATTCATTTACTTATTGTATTTTTTTGGAAACTTCTGAATGTCTGCATGTATTTTCAGAGCAAACCTTTGTGTTAATGTAATTATCATAAATCATATTTTTTATTATTAGCCAAGATGGGGAAGGGAAAGGAGATAGTTACCACAGATGTTTGTATGTATTCGATATAATCAGATCTACACACCAGAAACATTACAGTGGATAGTTTGTGTGGGGAACCGATAGCTACCATCGGGTGGCAGGTACGGCCTAAGGGTTTTCAGGCCATCTCTCAAAGTATTTAGCCTTATGGCTAAATACTTTGGTGGCCACTGAATGTACCGGGAGAACAATACAACCAGCAGAACTCTGAGCAATTTCACTGATTTGCAATAGTAGGTACAAGCCAACTCACATCACATTGAGATGATCTCAGCAGTTCTTACAAAGGTGTTATTGGATGTTTATAAGGATGTCTATAAGGATAAAATTTTGGCCGGAACATGTATGATTTTCTCAAAAGGATTAGTACCTTTAAGAACTTGTGTGCCAGATTTTATGGCGGTCAATTTGGAAGTGACCAGTACTGTAGGATTTTAGGAAATCATCACTGGATAGTATAAAAAAGGTGAAATTAGAACCTTTGGTGTAGAATATATATATGTAAAGTTAACACTTTTTCCAATCACCAGTAATGAGGAGATGAAGAAAACTTCTTGGTTGGTGAAACACAGGTTGAGAAAATATTGCATTTCTGGTGATTGGGAATAGTGATCATTTGGGACTGAATAGTATACCTCCTGGGTGCATTTTATCGGAGTAGTAATCACAAATCTGACCCCATGGTCCTGAAAAATTTGAAACTGGACACTGAATAGGGCCATCTTCATTTCTAAATTTGAGAAAATCAATCGTAATCCACGATAGAAGTATTTGAAAAACTGCTTGACAGGTATACAAGGACGTAGGGTGAGTGCACCAGTAATTGACCGGTTAAGAGCTTTCTCTCATAAAATAGGTTATAGTTATCAAACCGTCAACTTTTCAAGCAAATCAAAAATACATACAAGAAGGACCAAGTTTTAGGCTTCTAAATATGATATACTTGATTCTAGAAAATGTAAGATTTTGGTACAAAAAAAAATAGAGAATAACAAAAGTCATAAATCACCAGTAATTGACCAGCTAGAACCAGTATTTGTCCGCGATTAGACCCAGTGGTTGACCACTTGATGAAATGAAATGAAACACGTTGTTATATTGAATTATTTTCATGGAGAAAGACACATTTGGTTTGAACAAACACTTAAATGAAATTTTGAACATGAAATTTCAAAAATGTTCAAATGACATCTTTGAGAAACTTATATTTGATTCGATTTCCGGTTGTAACAACACTTGGGTATTCTAGTCTCTTCACAAGTTGCTCGGCATTCACAACACTTACATCGTTTTCAATTATTTTGAAAACATTCTTGCTTTCTTTTTCACTTTCTTCACTATGGAGGGTAGTGGTTCATCTTTACTGTCACTGTTGAAATGTTCTGTGATACCATCTAGACTTGATCCACTCTCCTGCCATTCCTCGTATTCACTTTCGCAGCTTTTCTTTTTATTTTCTTTATTTCCTTCCTTTTGAGAGAATTCTCCTTCTCAAGCACTCTCTTGTTTTTCTCTCTCATTTTCCATTTTGGTATTTTCTTTCTCTTCATGGTACTGCAACCACTCCAATGAAGTTGTTGCATAAGGCAGTCTTTCTTTTCTTGTAGATTCTTTCTCCTCAGGTGACTCCTCTGGCCAAAAAATATGATCAAGGAAGGCTACACTAACTTTTCTTTTTTGTGACTGTGGTAGTGGTACTGGAGTAACAGGTTTCTTTATAAGTATATCACTTAAAATGATTACTTGTTTTTCTTTGTCTGGTGCATTTTTTCAATTGAAACTTCACACAGATTTGGTTCTTGATCACTTCCATTTTCTTTCATTCCCGTATCATTTTTATATTCCTCCACTTCAGTGTCAGCATTGAATTTTTGATCTTCAGTTTTATCGTTATTTTCTTGTATTTTACTTTCAGCCTCAATAACCTCTTCGACAGTTTCATTGGTTGCATTTTCTAATTCTATATCATTATTTTCTTCATTTCTGCTTTTTTAAATTCTTCTCGTCTTTTTGTTGGAATGAGTGATTCAAAATATAGAAAATTTGGTACATCAAAGTTGGTCGGCTTAATTCTCTCTATCCCTTCTTGATCTCCTACAGTTCTCGAAATGTCATGCATACATGGGTGTAACACCGATTAATAAACCACTGCCTTGAGATAAAAATGCAGACAGACCAGATATATCAACAGAAATGACTATATGTCAAATCACAGAAGGGCATGATATGCTCAAAATCACAGAAGAGCATATTATGCTCATGTGAACAAGGAGTCACATTTAGTAGCTCAATCAATAATATGTCAGTTGTTAGAATTAGTCATTCAAGCCTCAAGGAGAAGAGGGAGATAAGCTGTAGGTAAATGACTGCATGCTTAGAGGAAGACATACAATTACTAAAAAAAAAAAACAGTAGTGACAAAGTGAAAAGTTTTTTGTGGGTGACTGTTGTCCACACTGTTATTCAACCTTTTAACAAGCAAATAGGCTAACAGACATCTTAGTGATCCCAATCTAGGACAATGACAATATCATAGCAAAGGAATAACCTGCAGCAGGTTTTATATATTATAACAAATTGAATTGACGAAAAACCCCATCCCAATCGACCAAAGTAGCGTTCACCAATAGAACCAAGATAGAGGAATTATAAACTCTAAAAATTCGAGGTAACGAAATACAACTATCAGGAAAGATTGAATACGTGGGAGTGATAACTAGACACCCCTTTGACTTAGGTGGTATTAGCCGGGAAAGTAGTTGTTTATGATAATAATTACTATAATAAAGCTGACACAGTATTTCATCAGGTATATGAACAGAGAGGGTCAAAGAGAGGAGTTGATGGGTGCAAGAAGAACTTGCTTATCGACAGATATACAATGCAGGATTCAGGGCAGTATAAGCTCCTATATGTCTGAATTGATCATCGTAAGCCGTTGATGATAAAACATTGCATGAGCTTACTGTGCATTTGCTCAGGATCCTTGTGGTAACGGATCAAATGCCATGAATAACTAATACCGTTCTGGACAACTCGCTTCAACAGAGTGACCCTTTCAGAAGAGATGGGTCACTTTCATAAGGGGTGTATTTCATGGAGATTTTCTGAGCCACTCTATTTTCTGCAGCTCACTATTAGGAATACGCGCTGGTACAGCTGCGGCATCCGCTAGACCGGAGGCATATGAATGATCCTAAACTTCAAGCATCTGATGAAAATTATCTTCATCAATCCTTAAGGGTGCTATCGGTATGGAATGAAAATTGGATTATACAAATGTGCAACGGTCAAACTCAAAGGAGTATGATTTGGGGTTTATGAAGAGTATGCGCAGCTCGAAAAAAGCACCCAGCACTATCTGGATGCCTAAGAGTCTTACACTTACCGTTGGTTGGAACAACGTCACTGCCAAGTGGTAAATACTTCAAAAAACTCTCTTTGCGGCAAGTATCAACACAAACTCCAAAAAATATGGTCTATGGT